CCGGGCCGCGCGAAGAGGCCGAAACTTACACCACGGAGAAAGGACATTACATAATATATTATTTCGATTTTACAATTTTAGAATATATATTTATATTATTTTTATATAATTATATTATTTCGTTTGAATGTATCTATGCTTGCTCGTCATTCGTTAGATTCCGTTGCACCTTGCTATACAAAGAATTCTGCTTTACAATTTAGGCGAATTGCATTTCAAACGAATATTATTTGCTACAGAACCGGCCACAATATTGTGCTCCAGCTCCGCCAAAATTCGTCGCTTGCGAGAAATGGATGTTTCAAAGCATCCGTCATAGCGCTCTGTACATGTCCTGTCTATACACAAAAGTGTTGCAAGCATCAAGACACCCAGCCCACAATCTCGGCGATATTACCACGGGAAGGCCTCTGTCACCCGCGCTTGAGCGCGCCAAAGAAGGCGACAATCAGACCCATCGTTCACAAAGGGCAAAGCTTTGTGAAGGGTTTGCAAGTTGTCCCATATAATAACATCACCTGGCCTATACTGGTGGAAATACATCCACTGTGCAGACAGTACATGTTGAAACAGGGCCTGGGTTGTCTCAACATCTGGTTGATTCTGCTGGTCCTCGAAGATTGACAGCTCCGAACCCATAAGAAGCAGCTCTCGGCCATCACGAGGGTGCAAATGCAGCACTGGCATACGTTGGTCCGGATATCTTTCCGCGTCTTCCGCGGTGAAGTCTCTCTTCATATACTCCGCGTTTCTTCGCGCTGAGCTGAAGCAGTTCAAGCTGGCAGCTTTGCGGCGCAAAGACGGCGGCAGGGCAGCAGCAGCCGCAACAAGATCCACAAAGCCTGTGCCACCTCCACTTCTTGGAATCTTGTCTGCAGACAGCACAGTTAGGATATGGCGTTGCGACATCTTCATGTAGTCCCCATCTTGGTGCCACACCTCTGCGCCCTGATAGCTTGGGCCCTTCCACTGGCCATCAGCACGAAAATTCGACAGCCGAACAATCCGGGGATGAACCTCAAAGTACTCTGGAGCCTGACCCACAACCGTGGCAGTGAGTTCCCCCAAGCGCTGTGTAAACGTCTCTTGCTCTTCCAAACTCCAGGATTGATTTGGAATCACAATCATCCCATGCGCACGAACTGCCTGGACCAAATCTGTAAGCTGCTCATCGCTGATGTCACGGAGACTACCCTTCCAGGTTTTGCCCATGCGGCTGCTGTGACGTGGGTCGGCTTCCGGCGCTGTGGACAGGACTCTCTGAAAAAGCTGGTCCCAAAGCGAGGTGATGGCTCCGAGGTTCTTTGTGCCATTCAAGTGGTGGTCTTGGTGGTGCTTGGGAGTGATGATCCGCAAGGCCGGCATCCGCCCAATCCAGTCAAAGGGTGGCAAATTGTAGCCAGAATGCACCATGACTCCGTACCAAGTTGAGAACATGAAGTATGCCACGGCAACTTTGGTGCTCATCGGCAAACAGTTGGACACCAACACGACAGCGAAGTACTTGACCACGGTATTGCCCATTGCCTCAACTGGATGCTCCACCTCGTTCATCCACGGTCCCGTGATGCGCACTGAGTGGTGAATCTTGTGATATTTGTACATGCATGGCAAGTGCAAGATGCAGTGCCACAATGACAGACCAAAATCCAGGCACCCAACCATGAGTAAGAAGCTGGCCACTGAAGGCAAAGGGTTGACTTCGCAGAATGAGAGATTGCTGGTAAACCAAACACCCATGAAAATGCAGATGTCCAGCCAAGAACCTGCCAGTTTTGCCATGATCTGCGGCACAGCAGACTCCTGTGTTCTTGCATGCTGGTGCTTGGAATCGGGCACAATCCTCCAGCGTGCAATCTTTGTCCCCAGTACTTCAAAGCCAGCATTGGTGCCAAACCAAATCATGTTTGAAGCACACATGCCGCAAAGGGCAAATGTCAAACATTGCGGCACTTGCAAAGACTCGCAGCCTGTCTCAATCATGCCGAGCATTATGCAAATGACGCAAAGGAGGCCGAGTGTCCCGACCACCCAGTGGCCCATGGGCGACATGGCCGCGGCGTGGATGATCATTGCAATGACTAAATTGACTTCACAGCAAAATGAGAGCCAAAGAAGTCTAGCGCAGCTCGTGAGGCATACGAGTGCATGTGAGGCTCGAAGTACACGGTGATGTGGATACCTCTCAAACATGGTGATTCCAAAAACCGTTCAACGTAGTCATGTTTGGTATCCACAAACCATCTTCTTTCTAGATCTTCAATGTAGAGGAATGTTCATCTGTTTGGCTCTGGTGCACACTTTCCTCACGATGCTTTCAGCACACTGGGGACTCTTGTATCACTCTCGGCTATCAAATCTGATCGGCAAACACAGCAAAGCAGCGATCAACAATCATCAACAACCATCTACCAACAAGCAAGCACAAACACAAAATAGCAACACATCACCTTGCTGTGGGGCAGATCTTGTGTCTGAGTGGCCAGGAGTACTGGAGTACTGCGTCCCAGCTCAAAATGCTAAGCACGCTCCTACCATTGTAGGGCATGAGACAGCTTGAAAAGCTCAACTCTCAGTGTTGCAAGCAAGAGGAAGAGCCAGGTTTGACAGCCTGAACCAAACTTCAACTTTACACTTTACATCGTTTGGTAGCTTTACACTTTGTTGATTGGAGGTCTAGTTCAGCTTGCGCAGCCCAGTCCATGCAAGGGCAAAGAATATGCCTAAGCAGGCGGTGATGATGTAAAAGGGCACGTATCCTCCAAGTGGCAATGCAGAGAAAGTCTGTAGAAGCTGTGTGGCCACGAGCGGAGAGATGGCACGGCTCAGGGCACGACTGGAATTGGCCCAGCCGTTGACCGTTGCCCGATTCAGCCCTTCTGACGCACGGTTCATGAAAACAAAGACGGAAGAGAAGAGCAGAAAGGTCCCGCTCATGCCCACGAACTCGGCAAGGCCCAAGATGACGTACCTCCAAAGGCCATACTTGGCCGGATCGGCAAACAGGGCATAGACCGGGTAGAGGGAGTAGGAGCAGCTGTTGATCAGAAATCCCAACCCCAGGACCTTCAGGAAGCCCAGCTTCCTGACCAACTTCTGGAGGAAAGTCAGGTGACACACAATTGGGCCTAGGCCACCTGAGACTTGTACGACCGAGACCTGCTGAGGGCTGAATCCAAATCCACCCTGTGAGTGCGGGTATTGCCAAAGCAAAACCACCAAGGTATTCTGCGCCTCGACGGCCCCAGCCAGTCCACAGAACGCAAGGATGGCCTGGAGCACCGTCATCGAATAGCAGCATCTGGTCACCCCCGAAGCGTCCGAGTCCTCCGACTCGAGGTCCACATGGTCGACCTGCTTGCTTGGAAGCGTCTCCTCTAACCAGAGAAAGCCGATGATGCAAACGATCGCTGTGGAAGCTCCAAATAGAAGATTTGGCAAGAGGACTGGATGCTGTGCAAAGAGCGTCCCTTCAAATACTTGCGGTGCCCAACGAGCAGGGAACGCCAGCCCACCCAGGAAAGGCCCCGCCATCATGCCAACAACAAAGCAAAGAACCAGAATACTGAAGGCCCTCGCTTCGTTGTTCTTGTCCGCAATCTCGCCCAGGTAGGTTCGTAAGATGGCCTGGTTGCCACAGAAGAAACCACCCAAAGCACGGAACGCGAAGACCAGCGGCAGCGACTGTCCTACGCCAAGTAGTATGGGGGCAATAGCCGTCCCAGCAATGCCGATCAGCAGGACGGGCCGGCGCCCGATGTTGTCAGCTGCCATGCCCCAAAGCGGGGAGAACACAATCTCGCAGAGTGAGTAAAGCCCAATGAACCATGCAAACGCCGTACCCACTTCAGCGCTTCCCTTATCCTGATTCAACAACATCGACATCAACTCGAGTCCATAAGGCATAATCATGGTCACATTCATGCTGTCAATCAGCCTCATGCTCCCGATCACAAAGAGTCGCTGGTTGAACAAACGCTTTGCCGCAGCTTCATCTTCCAACTGCCTGGACATGGCTCCGCGGGCTCAACGCCTTTTGGCCCAAGGCTGCTTGCCCTAGTTGCGTTGCAGCTCGCTGGTCCATGTTGAACTTGGAACAAATCGAGATCTCCAAAATTACAAGCTATTCTGCGAGATTGCAGGCAGCACCTTGAAACACCTGTTCCTTCGAAGCCAAAGCTGATAGCAGAAATTGCGCCCATGCACGGTTGCACGCTCTACCAACATTGCACGCAGAAATTCAGCCATCATCAAGCTCCGCTGCAGTCCTCAAGAACCATTTCAGCGCTTGCGTTTCTCCATCTGCTCAAATATATTTCTTTGCTTTCTATCCTGCGCCTGCCACGAAATCACCTACCTGACCTTGCAAAAACGCTGCGCCTGCCACAAAAACCGCGCCTGGCCTTGCGAACCTTGCCCAAGCGTTGTGCCTGCCAGGGGTGCGCGCCCAAGTGACTCGACCTTGCAAAAGCGCCGCGCAATCTGCACGCTGCTGTTCGCCCGTCCTGAGCCATTGGGTAGCACGGACGCGCGCGCCTTTCGCGACGTCAGCTTCTTGTGACAGGCGTGGCGCTCCCGCAAGCTGAGGCACAGATCGCGTTGCGGGCGCAGCGCTTTGTTGGGTTGGCGACCAGGTTGCATGGCAGGCGCAAGACTTTAGCACACTGGCACGGACGTGTCCCGCTGGCAGGGAGTCGCTGCAAGCTCGTCCGCGCCCGGGTCCGCCGTCCGCCAGGCATCTGGAGCGAGGCAGCTTGCAGCCCGACGGAGTCTCTCGCACACTTTGTGCGAGCCTGCGCAGTCGAAATGCACATGAACATCTCACAAGGGAGCTTTTGCGCGAGCCCGCGCCGACGAAACGGGCCCTATACCCTTACCGTAAGAACCCCTGAGTGTAGACACACTATTTGCGGAATTCGCCTGCTGGGCACCCTGCAACAGCACCCTTCCCACGTCACGCTCGCTAGCAGCAACCTCCAACTGGGCGTTTGACTTTTATCTTTTCTATGTGTATCTTTAACGTATTCTTGTATTTAGAATACACGAACGCAATCACACATATACTAATCATCAAGTCCACAAATGGTAGAGTTGTTCTGATCATTTTTGATAATACAAATATAAGCTGGTCGTAGGTGAAACCGAGAAAATTGTATATACATGGACTATTTCTTGACTGCCCTCATCATCCCATACACCATGAGCCCGTCGACCATTGACACGTGGTACTTCTCCAAAGTGTACACCTTGGTCGCCGCATTGACCAAAGCAAAGCAGAACTGAAAGCGCACCTCGCGCAGGAATCCAAGGAAAGCTGCTGGCTTCCTAGGCGCACGTTGCAAGCCAACTGTCGCGCTCGCCTCATGGACTTGCACCCACTCGAGTCTTGCTTCTACTTCGTCGGACAGATGGGGATTCACCCTCCACGTGTCCAGCCTCAGCGTGACCTTGATCCAGTACCATGGCGACCAAACACCCACCTGGGCCGGCGCAAGTGCGTGTGTCTCTGTGCTTGTATTGGGATGCGTTGCGCGGTATGGTGCTATGTGGTGTGATGTAGCTCGTGTGTGTGTGTGTGGGCATGGCAATTTGGTGTGTGTGTGTGTGTGTGTGTGTGGGTGGTCGGTGTGGCTTGCTTTTGGTTGTGGTTTGTCCCTGGTTTGTTTGTAGGTTGCGTATATGTGTGTGTGTGTGTGCGTGTGGATTGTGCGTGTGTGTTTGTGCAGTCGCACACCGGTGGGAACTGCAATGTTTCTACTCATGTCGCCCACGGGCGCATGCAGCATGTGAAAGATGTGGCATGGGTGCGCGTAGACTACCAATGACTGCACATGCGCCATTCGCCAGTCGAACGATTCCAGCCAGAAATCGAGGCTTCGTACCAACCATCATGGAAGTGGACAGGGGCTTCCTTGCGCCGCCCCAGCTTCCATAGTGGGAGGGTAAGCCTTTGCTTTGGCGAGCGGCCCACACTGAGTGTCGCCAAGACGGCAGTGTTTGATCAGTCCAGTCTGCAGTCTCCACCTGGACATGTCCAGAAATGAGCCACGGAGTCAGCCACTCAAAGCGCCTGCTCCAACTTGCCAGTGCCATCCAAATGCTCCTGCAGTTCTTGTAACTTGTTGCAACCATGAAGCGTAAAGAACAAAATCTCAGTTTGGCTGGCTGGTAGATGGAACCAAGGACTGCAGTGCCTGGTGGTCAAATTTTGACCCATGCCTAGTTGGTGCGTGGCGGTGTTTCATGATAGCACGCTGGCAAAACTGCGCTAAGCGGGCATGTTTGATATGTGGCGAAAGGCGTCCTAAGCAAGCTGAACTCTAAAATCCTGGCATACCAGCACCCGAGCCACATTGTACCCTTTCCCTTTGATCCCTTCTGATGCATATCAACTGGCTGCTGTCCTCCCACTTTCTGACCTAAGAAACAGTTGGGGTATGTCAAAATGATGGTTTTACTCTTGGTTTCTCTACACAACCAACCTGACAAGGGTACCCTCAAAACACACACACACACACACAAATGCTTTAGGATCATCCTGGATGGGTATCGAGTTGTGTGTGCTGGCCCTGTCTTTAACTTGGTTTTCGTTTTAGAGAGTCGCTTCGGGCTGGGTTAGATTAGACCTCACACGGTCGTGAAGCAACACACTGGCTGGCTAGCACTTCAATGTTCTCTCTCGCTCTCTCTCGCTATCTTTACCTCTCTCTCTCGCTCTCGCTCGCAGACTTCACAATGACGGCTCCAGGAAGCTTGAGTACTAGAAACCTTGAGTAGGCCTGCCTGATTGGCTACCAAAAAAAAGCCGCTCTCTCGCTCCTTGTACTTGCTGAGAGATATGAAATACGGATGCGACCACTCCTGCCAGGATGCGTACAGATTGAAGCTTTTGCGGCACCAAATTTACAAGAGGCTTGCCACAAAATGCCACATCAAGCCACATCAAGCCACATCAAGCCACATCAAATCGAAACTAGACTCGTCCCTGCCATTTTAAACCCGCTGTCCGCGTAAAGAAAATTGAGCGTCTTCCGCTCTTCGGAGGTGAAGATTGGGACCTTGCAAGGCAATGGCGCAAGGAAATGAGAACTCGAACCTGAAGTAGTCCAAGTAGATCAAAGTAGAATGGCTATGTAGAATATCAGACGGCCAAAGAGAGAAACAAATCAGTTGGAGGACACCGATGTTTCAGACGTTCCCCCATATCAAGGCGGCATCTAGAAGCATCCTGTCCAACTTCACGGCTTCAGGCGGTTGCATTTTTTTCACGGGCCCCCTGCAGGGTCTCGCTCGCACCAGGTTGCCACGACCATGTTTCCTGAGGACAGCACGCGGTGGGCAACAACCAGCCAGTTTTAGGTTGTATTCAGCGGGGAGTTTTTGGCAGAAGGGGAGGAAAAGGTGGCCAAGTTCATCCTTAGACTGCGACGATGTTGGACCGTTCAGAAAGCAGCGCAGAAAAGAATGAGCAAACCACGAGCTTGCCGTCCCTATATTATCATGCTGCTTAACGTGTATGGAAAAGCGAAATGGTACTTGTTTTACCAGCGTTGTGCTTCGTCGACTTGCGCCCTTGAGGGGGGAAGAGACATTGTTGTTCATGTGCAAAACATATTGTGTTTTACTGGCATTTGTGCAGCAAACTTGCCCTGCCCCTGCGTTCGCTCAACATGTACTCGTTGGGGAAACTAGACGGGGATTGGGCCTGTTTTCAAGCTGGCCACGCGTGCGCATCACGGCAGCCAGGCCAGCTTGATCGCGGCAACCCCCCTCCCTGACCCAACATCATTGCGACAATGGAAGAGGTTTGCGGTGCCCAACATGCCCAGACTGCTCATTCCCGTGACACTGAGCGTAGCTTGGACAGCATCCAAAAGCGTCCCCCTCACACTGAACACTGCTTGAACTGCATCCCCATTGGTTCCCTACACAAAGCACTGCCTGAAATTCATCCACGGTGAAGCTCGAATGTTCTGTTGTTCGTGTTTGTTGTGGTGGGGGTGTCAAAATGGGTGGGGGTGTCGAAATGCAGCGGTTTCCAGCATTTGTACCAGCCTCATCAACACTGCTAGCATCTTAAAAGCCACTGATTTGGCCATTCGGCCTTCGCGCAATCTTGCGTTTATGAGTGACAGCAGCAAATACAAGGTCATACACCGGCTTCAACACGAGGAGAACGTGACCGTGTCCTTCCGCAACCTGCGCGTTCCATGCTATGCCATCAGCCGAGGGTCCTTTGGGTTTGAGCACACGCGCCATCTCCTCCACATACCTGTGACGGACAATGGTGGCCAGCTGCGCCCATGGACATTATGCGTGCCTCTTTTTGTCAGGCATGTGCTCGCCAGACTCACAGGCCCAAACCATGTCAAAGGAGTCGTCTGCGAACCTGACATCCAACAGCTGAGTTTTCAATCGGAAGAACTGCCATCCAAGCCCCAGACTCCATGTTCAGGGCATCCATGACCTGGAACCGCACGTTCTTCAGGCCTGCTTTCTTTGCCAAGTTGGCGGCTCTCTCCGCCTGCCGCAGAGAACGTTTGATCACAGCCGGGCTCACCAAGTATTTGATTCGGGGAACCAAGATGATCGTTTGCTCCCATCCGCTCTCGGCGCAATCTCCAGGGCAAAGCTGGCTGAATGGCCAGGGGCTTGGGCACGTGCGCCGCTCTGTCCTAGTGCTCTTGTGGTTGATTTTTCTCGCATGCGCCTGCTGGGGCGAAAGGGTGATACCCAGCACCTCTGCGTCTGGAAAACGCTTCGCCAGAATCCTTGGAGTCCGGTCTTGCCCCAACTTCCAGACGCCTCTTTCCGGGAACTGTGGGTGTGCCTGATTGTTGGGGACCCCACAAATGATGGTTTTCCTTTTGGTTTCCCTTAAAACCACAAAAAGGGGGTACCCTCGAAAAACAACACACCAAATGGAAATCCTTCCAGCTGGCCTCTCTTACTTCAGCCGTGAAAAGGCTTCCCAGTTTGCACATCCATCCGTCGCGAGTCGCGAGATCTGAGCGCGGCTCCTGGACGAACCTCCGATGCCGCAGCCTGGCAAAAAACTCCACTCCCGTGGAAATGGTTGCGGTTGCTTCGTTTCCGCACTCGGGGCCCTGCCAACATCGAGGATCTTTTTGGGCGCGGTCGCACCTCGAAAAGGACTCCTCTGGAATTCCCGGCTCGCAACACGAAAAAAGATGTGAAGCTCGGAAAGTCAGCACGGCATACCCTGAAACTCCACCAATTGTCAGTTTGACTTTGCCGTCCAAATGTCTTAGCGCTTTCCTGTCAGAGCCTTGTATGCTCCAAAGCACAGACGTCCGGGATTTTACTCCAAAACTATCTGGGGAAATCTGCCGACACCGTTGACCTGAGGAGATAAGATCACTGGAGCGAAGCGGACCGAACAAAGGTTTTATTGAAAGCCAGACAGAAAGCCAAAAAAGCCAGGCGGCCAAACGCTGAGTCCAAAACGATCAACAACACGACGTCGGAAAGGCAAACACCAAGAATCTGCTAAATTTAGAGCAAGAATTCGTCCAATTTCAGCAAGACAGCAAACTTTGGTTTAACAACAAAAGAAATCAGTCCTCCCTGCGCGCTTGCGTACCAAGCCGGGCTGAAAATATGGGTGTCTTTTTCGGTGTAAGCTTACCCAAAAAAGGAAACCATCCGTTCTGTGGGCTCCCCTATTTTGAGACAAATCCGCATTATTAGTATTTCTATTATTATTATTATTAGTGTCAAAATGAGAGAATTTGGCAGCAGCTGGCGGTGATATGTCCAAGGCACGGCTGAAGTCAATCATATCGTGCACAAAGTCGATCTTGGCCTGTGGCTGGGTCACGCCATCCGGGGTCTTTTGGAGGTTATCCGTTTGCCGAACAGCGAAACGGAAAGGAAAGCCAGTCATTCTGGAGGTCCCTCCCTGTTCTGGGACTCCATATACCCTTCGCCTCACGCGGCGCCTCCTTGAAGTTCTTCAAGCGACCCAGCGTGGCCCGGATGAGTGCGACGAAAAATGAATCCTCGCCATGTCACTTGGCCGGAGCTTGTTGTCTCTGATGAGGAATATGTGGCTGGGGATGTTGATTCCCTTTAGCTTGGTAGTCCCTGGCTTGCCTTTCTGCTCAACTGACGTTCAAAGACGCAAGATGGATCTCAACCAGCACCCGTTGCAAGCACGCGATTGCGCAAGCGACCCCGTGTTCTTTCCAGGCCTTCTTGCGGTAGCCGCTCTGCTTGTCCATCGGGTTGTATGAACCTCTAATTCAGAATCATTCAATGCATAGACACATGAACCCTTTCCTTCCAGGGTGGACATGTTTTAATCCCAGACCCTTGACGACGAGCACGCAGGGGCATGCGACAACAATTGTCCACGTACTTTCCCGCAGCTGCCAGTGAATGCTGATTGAGCCATCCGTCCAATACAATCGGTTCCGAGTCCAGTTCAAAATGGAATGTGGCAAAGTGGCATTTCCGCCAATGTCACGTCATCCCGTTTCGCCCTCTTTGGGCAGAAGGACTGTTTGATGGGCAAGAATTTGGAGCTCCGGCTCAGGCCGGGACCCATGTGGATGTGCTCCCCCCAGTAGTGCTCCAGGACCTGTCAAATGCGAAACAAATGCAGGTAGCGTTTGCCTGAACACCCTGACTGACACGCATTTATCGTTGATACGCATCCAATTTTGTCTATAGCATGGCATGCTCGGGGCTTGTGCCAACTGAGTCCCAGGCTCCCTCCCGAGCCCATTCGTCATAGGCGCTGCCCACGGATCCTTCGCCATAGGGCCGCTTGGGAGTCTGGAACCTCAGAGGCATCGGCACTGGGCTCGGCATAGGATCAGGATCACACAGAAAGCTTGCTTCAACCAGCCAGTATTCCTTCGGCTGGTCGGAAGTGCAAATCTGATTGTGCATCCACAGAACCGTAGGGCGTCCCAAACAGAAGGCGATGTGTTTTCCTGCATTCATTGGACGTGGCGTTTGTGTAGAGCGCACATCTCATGCGTTCGGCTCAACCTCCAACAATTTGCCCAAACATGCGCTGCAACAGTGTGATGAGATGAGCAGCAATGTGTCACGGTAGAGTGTCCATCTCTGCAGCTAAGTAGCCAGTCACATATCCTCGAGGAAATGATCTGGCGGCAAATGCTGTTTGTTTCTTTCCAAGGTGGGCGTTGCATGGCTCGGCGTGTGTGAGCTTAAGATGTTTGATCTCCCTACCCAGAACTCTTCCGCGAGCCGATATTCCCAAACTCTTACCCAATGGTCAGAGAGAAAAGGAAAAAACGATAAACAAAAGAATAAGAAAAAAAGGGGGGCAGGGGTCGGCGAGTGTCTTGGTGTTGCTTGAAGGGAAATCAAAGGATGGCCCCACTTCGAGGTTCCGCCACAACTCCGAGTCATGGCTATGGCCCGTATGGCTTTTCAGAATCCTTCTGGTCATGTTGGTGGCTTATCAATGGGGTTGTGGCGGTGCACTTGCACCAATATTCCGGGCGTGCTTCTGAGGCCTCGGACCCCCCAAAGTGGGTCTTCACAAGACAAGGCGTACCATGCCCCTGCCCCCGTTTTGCCCTGGCACAAAGGGCTAAGCCCCCGCGTTTTTCCGTGCGGAAAGGTCGAAAAGAGATCGGCCCACGGAACGGAAGGCACCCGCTGGCCTTCAGAAGGCCCAGCACAGCGACCCCGGCGCCGATCTGCCGAGCGCTCGGCGCGGCCTGGAGGGAAATTTGAACCCGGGCGAGCGCATGGGACATGCGTGAAACCTTTGGCAAGTTCGTGAGGCTGACATATGCCAAACCTCAGTTGGACCTGGAAATCAAAGGACCTTTTCCAAATCCGGTCGACGGGACCCCACGTGTACGTGGGTTTGCCTCTGAGTCCGCGGCCATCCGCGGGATCGTCTTTTCCCGTCCCGGCAGATCGCCTGGAAGGTTGTGGCCGTGGGCATTCTGCCAGTTGGGCCAGTTTGGGTGAGGGGACGCCCCGAAATAAACACAAAAAACAGTGGTTGTCCTTTGTCTGCCCCCTCAAACCACCCCCAAAAGGGGGACCAACTCCAAAAAAATACACACCCAGTTTGCCACGTGCCCAGCATGGGCCCCTGGCCAAGGCCAAACCCGCCATGAAGTCGCTCCCTAGTCCTGCCAGGACCAACGACCCCCTGACTCCCTGACCCCCAGCAAGATGTCGATAGGCAGCTCCTCTTTTGGCTCCGTCGCCAAGTACACTATGCAGGCAGCATCTAGGGCTGGAACTTCAAGTCTCCCACAAGCCAAGTTGGCGCATTGGATAGGTGTCATGATGTTAACTTTACATGGAACCTAAAAGGAAACTAACCACTTTGGAGGTCACCTAAAAAGGACAAACTCATTTGTGAGGTTCTCAATTCCAAAAAAACCTTCGCATTCCCAACATGCACATCCGTCGGTCCGGCTCTGCAGGCGGTGCGTGCCAACCTGAGTGGACACGCGTCGCGCAATCCCATCCGTCACCACCTCCCCTGCCAAGCTTTTGAGCGGCTCAATTTGGAGGTCTTGTCAAATCCCAGAAGCACACTGCGCAACCGAGTTCAGAACAGGGCACAGGAAGGCAAATCCTGCAGAGCTCGGGACTGCTCTTTGGTGAAACCCCATCGCCCAGCGATGGCAGCCTGATCCATGCGGGTGTATCTTATACTGAAGGTACCCAATGTTTGTGGTTTTTAGGGGAAACCAAAAGGAAACAGCCATTTTGGGGGGGTCCCCTAAAAAAGAAACAGCCCTGCAACTGGCTCATTAGGCGGAAAGCAAAGAGGGACTGATTCCCAATGCGTTTGACAATGCGACTCAGATGTCCCCTCCGCACGGCCTTCGTATGTCAGCAACACACACGGCAAGAAGAGCCTCAGCAAGCGATCCCATGGCGAAGCTCAAGCGGTTTGCTTTGCTGGCCGTGTTTCACTATGTTCCAAGTGATCCAGTTTCCAACTCCAATGGGAACAAGCTTGATGGGGCCAGCCCACTGCGCTCAACTATCTACGGACAACGGGTGTCGTCTCTGGCATCTTCTCATGGGTCATCTCTGCTTTTGGATGAGGCAAGGGTCAACCCCCGCCCCCCTCCCCCCCGTGCTAGATTTTGTGTGGCTGGCCTTCGTTGACGTGAGACTAGGCCGCATGCACTGTTCAGGTGCAATCAGTCTTCTTTCAGATCAAAGTTAGACATTGATTTGTTCTCAATGAGAATGGCGAATCAGAACTCTGACCTCCCTCAAATTGGGTGCCTGACCAGCGCAGCTTCGCGCAGCTGCGCATCCTGTGCCAGTCGATCGTAAGCAAGTTGCAAATGCACGCTGGAAAACAGAGTTGTGATTAGAATCGTTGGCGGTTTTGAAGTCCATTCCAGCCTATCACGCCTCAAGTTTCTCCACCATCATGTCGACAGTTCTCTGTTCAATCGCCACAACTAATGGCCTGTTTGGCACAGCCATGGCTTACGACGGGGCCACAACCACCGGGGGCAAGACAGCTCACGTTTGCTTCAGGCCTGTGACCCAGTTTTCAGCGATGGCTGCTTCCCTGCTTTCAGCTATTTCTTTGACTCTGATTCTGAGGAACTCCTTGACCCAGCGGCGGCAACATTCCATTTGGAGGCTGCCGGTGCTCGGTGACTCTCATCCAGCGTCCGTGCGGTTTCACTCTGGTGACGGCTTTCCTTGCTGGTTCGCAGCCTCCAAACCAATCCTCACGCGCACTCAGTCGCTCATGGCGCGACAAGCTCGTACCTGCGCATCTAAGACTGCCTGGTACCAAGTTCCATGAAAACCTGCATTCCTGCTGATGTCTCATGGCATGGCAACGGCGTGATGCATAGGACAGCGTGTTGACGATCTCAATGCACATCATGCACAACTCGCTTTTGGGCACTCGATCTGCGAAAGGCTCGCGCATCCAATCCGGCATGCCTGATTGCAGCAGAAGGTCTGGCCCGCATCAAACATCCGTTGATTCAGGGTAGTCGACTCCAATCAATATAGTATAGTAGATGTTGGATCAGTGTAAACAGGGTCTTCAGAATGCAATTTGCTTCATTTGTGAGCTGCGTGGGTCAAAGGATGGCTTTCTGAAAGGCCCTCATTTCAAGCCGAGGAGCAAGGCATGTGGATTGCGTAACTTTGGAGGTAGACCCTGGAACCATCTCCAACATACAGACCGGTTGCATCAGCTCACCTCTGGTCCCATTGGGAGAACTCGCCCATTCACAAACAGGGATCTGTGATTGCACCTGCATGAGCAACTGCAAATGAAGCACGTATGCCTCTCTTGGTGAAGTTAAAAGCTTGCTGGCGAGAACAGCAGGTTTACGTATTGCGGGCAACACAAAAAGCTAGCAACTGGATGTCCTGAAAACTACCACAAATACCAATGTCATTCTCTCCAGGTCCCAAATAAGCTATTCCACCCTTCGCAGGAAGACCCCGAGCTTGGGCTGAGCATCCTTTTGGACCCCTAAAAAAATGCCACAGTACAACAAAGCCCTTCTAGGAAGGCATTGGGCGCCAAAAAAAAAAAAACATAGAAACCATTCCGAAAATGCCGTTCTCGGTGCGCTTCACTTGCCACGTCTGGCTTCAGCCAACGTTGCGATCAACCCAACGCTGCCATCGCGCCTTTGGATTCTCATTCATCTGGGGATTGCTCTTGGTGTCGTTGGCGCGATAGGCATACCTGGCACAATGATCAAAAATGCAAAACAAAGAAACACGCTGTGCGCACCTGTGCAGGTCTGAGCTCGCGGCTCCAAGCATGCAGCATGCGGTTGTTTCTTCGGAGTGAGCGACTGCGTAGAATCGCCAAAGGCACCTGCCTTAAAATCAGGAGATGATTGGGGTACAACAGCTTGGCCGGAAAAAGAAACCTCAGCTGCAGCCGGAGTTGAACTGCGAGTCGCCATTCTCCTTTTCATAGTTCTGCCCATTGCCGGGCTCAAGCTTCTGATAAATCCTAAAACTCTTTGCAGCGTTCTTGTCGCAGCGCCGCCGGCGCCGGCCCCCCTGGTAGCCCCTCACGAAGACATTCTGGAAATTCCGTCGCCGCCTGCGATCGAAGGCCGGCCCTGCCTCGCTGCTCTGCAGGCAGACTTGTCCATAAGGTCCACTGACGCCCTGGAAGGCGATCCTGAACCTCTCGGTGGATTTCTTGTTGATGTCATGCTTCGACGGAGACTGCGAGGGGCTCACAAAGTTTAGGTTGGTACCACTCTGTTTGATACATTTCGGGTTGCTGTCTGGGTCAGAGATGTCTGCGAAGTACATGTTGTGCATGTACTCGTTGCAGAGATACCGCTCTTTCGTGAACCACCAAAAGCTCTTCATCTGCTCAGAATAGCTGGAACTGTAATGCGTGCAATCAGCGAACGCAGGCTTGCAGTCTACTCTGTAGAAGTAGACCTTGCCTTCCGAGTCAAGCTGGTAGCAGTCAGGTGATATCTGCAAGCACTGACTCTTGTCATTCTTGATGACGTACTCCGTGCCGTCTCCGCAAGAACTGGGATTACCCCCCGATTTCTTGCACTTGCCGCCCAGCAAGTTGCTAAGCTTGCACTTAGCCCTGTCCACCACCTTCTTCCCTTGGTTCACCACCGCCTTAGCGAACTTGGCGCCGTTTGCGCCCACCTGGTCTTGGTAGAACTCGGCGATCTCCTGCGCCCCGTGGCCCGCGAAGTCGTCGATCTTGTTGATGACGAACTTCCCCGCTTGGGCGAAGATCTCAGCCCAGCCCAGCCTCGCCTTGCAGCGCAGCTTGGAGTTGGCGAACTTGAAGATGCACCTCACAGTCGTCGCGGAGCCCCCCACCTTCACCTCTGAGTAGAAGCCGACCCCAGCGGTGTTGATGAAAAAGCCGATGCCCCCGCCAGCGCTGAGTGAGATGCCCGAGTCTGTGTCCACGCCGATCACGTCCAGAAAGCCGCCGATTTCCCCCAAGACCGACTGGACGATGGACTCAACCAAATTACCCAAGTCCGCTGAGAGAAAGAAGTAGAGTCCTGGAAGGTGAGACTCGGCATCGTCCTGACCGTTTCCCGGCCCAGTCCTCAGCATCATATTTGCTTGAAAGAGTTGAAAGGACAGATTCGGCAAGATCCCGCCGGTGGCGCTTCTCAAGAGCAGGGAGATGTATCCAGTGACCTGGATCATGAAGGTTGCGTGACACAGGGCTCGCACCAAATTCACAACTGGGGTGGCAGCACCAGCGTGTTCCAGCGCGACAGCCGCCCCAAGTGGGGTCAGGTAGTAGGCAGAAGCAACACCCCCCACGAGGTCGGGCAAGGAATTGGTGAGGTCGGAGGTGGTCAGCCAGGTCAGCGCGTCCTTCACCTCCTCTTCCACGTCGAAACCCGCAGCGACCTGCAACTGAAGATCTCCGGCCAGCAAGTCTCCCACAGCATTCTCCAGGCTAAGGAGCTTCCCCAAGGAGATGCGGGCTCTGACTGATACACCCAGGTGTGCCTTCAAGGTGACGCTGCTCACGTGGATGTTGTCGCCATCGCCATGCGCCAGCAGCACGGTTCTGGAGAGCTTCCTGTCAACCGAGATGCCGAAGCTGAACTCGGGCATCATGGCCACGAGCTTGCCCACTGGGGGGCTAAACTTCTCCGCATAGCATGCCATGGTATTGGGGCTTATGGACAGCATGAAGTTGACACCTGAGTCGCACTTGTTGAACGCAAAGCCAGTCTTGAGTTCGGTGAACGCGGTAGGATCATCAGCAGACGGGCATGGCAGTGTCATGTAGAGGCCGACGGTGCCCCACTCCTCGGCATCCTCACTTGCAATGAAGAGGTTCCGCAGATATGTGAGGCCCTGGTAGGAGTCGTAAAGCTGGGAGCTGGACCCATAGGTGTCACTCACCACCCACGAGCCCGGGCGGTCGCCCAGGCAGAAGACGAAACCGATGAGAGGGGTCACATCGTCCCAGACCTTCATAAAGGTGTTGAAGAAGTTGGCGCTGGCGCCCGGCGCCACTGCTGCCAGTTGGCTTTGCCAGTCCGTGCTGCCGAGACAAAATCCGGGGGTGCCCATGCCGCATTGAGTCCCCAGGGAGACGGCCTTCTCGGAACCTGCGGATCGCTGCAGCAGGGCGCCGCTCTGCGCCGGCCGGTCCGCCAGCGCGGGCAGTGACAAGGCCACATGGAACACTGCCCAGCGCATGGCCAAGAGGATGGAAAGTAAGGTGTCGAAGGTAAGATGAGCGGTTTGAGGCTTGAGGCCGCGATTGCACACTCAACTCAGTTCCAGACACGGCTGGCGTGGCTTGAGTCATGCCTCGCAAGGTGCGTGAGCAGCAGCATGCTCTTTCCAGGCCTTGCGGTCGCCGCTCTGCGCGTCCATCGGTTTGTATGAACCTCCATGCGCCGCTTCTATTAAACCAAGAGGCAAGTCCAAGGCAGCCATATGACAATAGACATAGCCTATAGCCATGGTCAGAACTCCTCGCATAGAGTCGTCTTCCGTTCCATGACACGCCACCTGGAATCCCTTGCCATATTCACAGGCTTGTTTTAAGCCCCCAAAACCGAGTCTTCAAGCATTCAGGTCAAAGGACTTCTGGGGAAAGGCGCTGACTGCTTTACCTTCGCAAAACAAATGCGTGCTTACCTGAACGCCCATGCTATCCAGGCTGGGCTGACTGACCATACGCATGGGCTGACTGACCAACTGGGTCTCCAGCTCCCCTCCCGAGTCCATTGGTGATAGGCACCCATAGCGCCGAACCTCAGAGTCAAGTGAGCTCCTTTTCAAACGTCCCGTGGCCTCTTGACCTTGGTAAATGGAAACAAAAACTAAAACCTTGCGTAACCCCAGCTCTTATTTTCTGAGCCACACACCTTTCAATGCACTTACCAACTGATTCTTTGACTCTGAGCATGGGAGTTGCCGCCCGGTAGTCGTTCCCCATCCTTTTTCGGGCCTTCCATGGCACCCAAATACTTGATCACTAGCCACATTCCACCATTGATGCTACTTTGTCCGCGCCCAAGAACACCAGATTGGGATTGCTCCTTTCCCGGCTGGTCGGCAACGGCTGACACGGCTTAAGGGCAACTTTGTTCACGCAGCCCTTCCGGACCTTCCGGACCCGTCCAGTGGAACCTCCGGAACCCCAGCCCAGCACACACCTCCGACCGACTGCAGAAAAAACACATGGGCAAAGAGCAAAGGCTTCAGCTGCTAGGGGAAAAGGATCGTCACAACTGAATTGCAGCTTGTTGATAGCATGAATGAATCATAGAACTGTTCAGGCGCAATGAGTGTTCTTTCAGACTGTGCAAAGGATCAAGCACACAAAGTTAGACATTGGTTTGTTCTCAATGAGAATGGCGAATCAGAAGCCCGATGCTGACCCTGACCTCCCTCAAATTGGGTGCCTGACCGGCGCAGCTTCGCGCAGCTGCGCATCCTGTGCCAGTCGATCGTAAGCAAGTCTGTAAATGCACGCTGGAAAAAAGAGTTGTGATTAGAATCGTTGGCGGTTTTGAAGTCCATTCCAGCCTATCACGCCTCAAGTTTCTCCACCATCATGTCGACAGTTCTCTGTTCAATCGCCACAACTAATGGCCTGTTGGCCACAGCCATGGCTTACGACGGGGCCACAAGCACCGGGGGCAAGACAGCTCACGTTTGCTTCAGGCCTGTGACCCAGTTTTCAGCCATGGCTGCTTCCCTGCTTTCAGCTATTTCTTTGACTCTGATTCTGAGGAACTCCTTGACCCAGCGGCGGCAACATTCCATTTGGAGGCTGCCGGTGCTCGGTGACTCTCATCCAGCGTCCGTGCGGTTTCACTCTGGTGACGGCTTTCCTTGCTGGTTCGCAACCTCCAAACCAATCCTCACGCGCACTCAGTCGCTCATGGCGCGACAAGCTCGTACCTGCGCATCTAAGACTGCCTGGTACCAAGTTCCATGAAAACCTGCATTCCTGCTGATGTCTCATGGCATGGCAACGGCGTGATGCATAGGACAGCGTGTTGACGATCTCAATGCACATCATGCACAACTCGCTTTTGGGCACTCGATCTGCGAAAGGTTCGTGCTTCCAATCTGGCATACTTGGCTGCATCAAAATATCTGACCCTTACGAAACATCACTTTGCAAAGTCCAAATAGCTGATCAAGTCGCTTCAAGAAGGCCAACAAGTGCCTCCATCCCAGCAAGTACAATTCGAGATTCCACTCTCCCTTTGTGTCGCACAAATTTGATGAATACTGTCGAACAAGTGAGTCATAGGTTCTGCGCAGGGAACTCAAGTTGCAACTCTTGGTTCAGGGCTGGAAATGTCCAGCTGTGGCTGGAAAAATTATTTTTGCCGAGAGCGTTTGCTTTGGCCAAGGCCAAGGCAAAGTGGCCTCTTGGCTCGAAGAGACAGTGTGCAAGCCGAATTTGCTTTTTTCCGGTCCACCAAGTGGCTTTGGAACGGAAGGAGGAAGGAAGAGTTTGACACGCGGAAGGAATGGATATGTGATGGTGCAGGAGACGGTGTGGAATGGGTGTGGGAGGGTTTTGCGCCATGAGGTTGGGACTATGGACGATATCAATCGAGACATACCTAGCGCCACATGAGCCCCTTCCATTCAGATCCTTCCAACTGCTTTCAAAACTGCACAACGTTTGCATTGAAGGGTTGATGAGCAGCCGATACAGGACCTTTGGGTGACACCAAGCTGCTTCGTATGTTTCGCGCCTCCCCGATGCTGCCGCTCACGTCAGCATCCAACTTGCCCCACTTATCGACAACCAGCCGCATGAAGCCCTGACCGAAATTGCTTCTCACGACAAGCCGAAGTCCATGGCGCGTCATCGAAGAATAGCGCTGTTGCACGTGCTATTGTTCACACCGGTCCATCACATTGACACCACTCCAGTATGACTGAGTCAACGGTTTTTGCGTGGCTGTTAGGGATAGCAACAATTCGGCAAGCTGGACACACACCCCAAGCCTGCACCATCCGGACTGACGCATTCCTCGCGGCAATGACCTTTGCTTTTGGCTCGCTGTTGCATTTGCTGTGCAGTCTGGATGGTTGCTATTCTTCGGGGGTCCAGTTGCGCAAACGCCAAATTCCCGATATGGGCCTGCTTCCACTTTGCTGGCGAACAGCAGCGCCAACAAGCGACAAACTGCCAGCCTTGCCAAGCTGAATGGCATCTTTCTGGTGCTCCTGCAAGGACAAAATCACCTGACAGAGTCATCTGTACAACGAGGAACTCTCTTTGATAAGGATGATACTCAATGAAAATGAAGCTTTAAGGAAGCGTTTCATGCGAATACAACTTTAGCTCGGGGCCTGTGCCGTCTCGTCTCCGCAGGTGACCTGGCATTGCGAACTGTACTGAGACCAAACGGTGCCTACAAGCATAGGAAAGCCAGTGAGGTATGTGTCAAAGTACTTTCAAAAACACACGCCCATTTGAGCCACGGTTCTTCAGCTGATTGCGGAAGATCAGAGCTTGCGGCATGTAACCTCACTATCCTTTGGGTCACGTCGAAAACCACCCGCTGACTTCGGCACGATGCCTCGAAGAACCTGCCAGCGCTCCTTTCCACCGGCTTGAGCTCTCCAACGACCTTTCAAGTGGAGTTTTCGTCCACATTGGGTTGTCAAAACAATGTACTCTTTTTGGGAATGCGTTCGGAGTCGGGGCTATTTTTCGCCCTCTTCATTGGGTCTCCCTACAGGGACAGAACAACCACTCCTCACACAAGCTGGACTGAGCTTCGGGGTCTGACGCTTGACGCTTGACGCTCACCATCAGAATTCGGGGGCAAGGGCCTCGCTCCAATGATATTCCATGGGGCACAGCTTCAACGGAGGAAGCCAAGGCCTGACTTGCAGAAGACATCCAAGGTCATTCCGGTCCTCGCCTTCAGGAGAAGATTGACGCCGTGCGCGTCAGGATGCAGCGTGCCAACCTTCACAAAGGTCGCCTTCCTCAGGCAGGCCTCACCGAAAGGCCCCATGTGCGTTGTTGAATCTTCTGCAGCTTGCAGCTCCACCCACCCAACCTCTGCCAATGGAAACGAACGCCCGCACCTTGCTGAAGACCTCCTCCGCCATTGTGAGGACCGTGAGACTCTCTTTGGAAGCTGCCTACAAGAGAATAAGCCCACATAGACACATAGACACACAGACACAAGTGCCATGCGTGCTTGTCTCTCAGTGAGACTCCTTTTTGGTGCTTGAATCCCAAACATCTGTTGCTCAAACAACTGATATCTATGATTTCAAGTGTCGTGTGCTGCCTGCGATAGTGATACTTGAGCAACCGAAAAAGAAAAACAACTGCTTGTTTTCCGAAAATACTGCGGGAAATGGGGTTGTCCGCCTCGATTTTGTGCTAGACAAGGTCAACAAGCGGGAGACATCGGAAAGATACAGGCGGGCCGTTTCGGGGCACAAGCGGGAGGCATCGGGAGACAAACCTGGAAGACTGGGTGCAAGAAATGAAATGAAATCTGTCTGGACAACGCTACTCGGAATTGGGAAGGCAGTACAAAAGGGCCACGAGGATTGCCAAAGCATGGGTCCTCAAAAACCGCCCAAAGGATCCGAAACTGGGAGATCATTCAGATCAAGAGAACGTCCCAAGCCAAAGCATCCAATATGGGAGACGGCCTGGGAATCTGACGGGATCGGATAGTGAAAAATATGAATAAGGAATACGCTCTCTCGCACTTACATGGGACAAAAAGTCCCTTTAAGAGGATGTTGATCTTCCAGATACTTCCCACAGGTGCTACGAGAGTGGGAGGAAGGGTATCATGCGACAGCGGAATATCGATATAATGTGCGACAGCAACAAAGATTATCAAAGCAATAGAATAAACCTCAATATCCAATGGTGAGAGATGCCAGTAAGCTTGGGCAAGATAACGGTCCCGAATCCAACAGAAAGAAGCAACATCTCGGGATTCTAATCCAACAGCACAGAACAACATATTAATATGACGTTGTACGCGCTTCCACAAGAGACATAGCATGTGGCTTAGTAACACCAGAATGTCAACAAAAAAACAAACTGGAAAAGAGCGATAGCCAAGCAATAATGCCAGCAAAAGAAATGCCGACCAGTGATAGATATTTGTCAAATATAATAAACTATATAGTTGCCCAATCATCAATCCAACAAGTTCCTTAAAGTTGAAGACCCAAATACTAAATCATTTCAGGAGTAAAGGCAGGCAATCAAATATAACTTCATCTTCATTATTTTATCATCTCCTTATCTGCCTTCTCGACCCCGTCTCCTCCACTTTCGTATCGTCACTTCCCTTCTTTTCTTCTCTGCTCTCCTATCCATTCCATTCCTCTCCCCTCCTCTCCTCTCGTCTCCACCACTCTCTGCTTTCCCAGTCCTTCCTGTTCTCTTGCTTTCTTCCTCTTCTCCCCAGCCGCTCTCACTCATCAAAAAAAGCGGAGAGTCAGAAAGAAAAATCCCAAGCAAATGATGCTGCTCCAAGAATCCATATCAAATCATGCCTTTCTACATTATTTCAGCCCGGGGAAAGTATAAGCAGCTCCCAAATGTTCCTTGGCCTTAGTCGAAATTGCAAAACTGCGAGCTTGGTGGTTTTGAGTCGACAAAGCTAAACGTAGTCCTTGATAGAATGATTGGATGGCTTAATTTGCGCTTAAGCTATTATGTCTGTGTTTTTAGATCATTCCCCTGCGGTTTGCCATGCCTCATCGATGCAAACCGGGAACAGCTCAAATTCAGATGCACCAAATTCAAGCGTGGCTCAAGCACACCGGTCTCAATTCGTAGCTTGCATCTGAAGCTCGAGAGGCCGGGCGATGGCCCACACTGCTTTACCACATTTTACGACCACTCTTCAGCATGCCACTTGAAGCTGAATTCGATGGCATTGCCTGATCGCTGGGGGACCCATGTCACGTGGCATCGCTCGGGGTCTTTGGCGAAGCGCTTCACTTGCCAAAGCCTTGCAGGGTGATCTCTGAAAATCAGAGGCCTTTGAAACCGCTTCGTTGTTTTGCTTTAAAGAAAAGCGGTCCCGAAAAGCCGCTGTGGATTTTGGTCCATCCGCCTGTAGAAGCCACATAGAGCTGAGCCAGTGCTGTACTGCCCCCACTGCCATCCCAAAGGCTCTCCGGGCTTCAGCTTGCGGGCCAGTGACCCGCTCCAAGAAGTCGAGGTGTTGTCGGGCCGGAACAAGCGAAGCTCTGCCATGTTCCCGAGATCTGAGCAGAGGTAGCCTGGTTTACACTGCGAAGGCACGGCAGAGTACAGGAGCGAAAATCCACAACGAGCTCCGATCGAGATTTTCTTTTTTCTCTTTCCTGTTGAAGCCACGTCCGGAAGCTTGAAGGTAGTGGTTTTGGACTCGAACACAAGCTGATCCAAGATCTCACCACTCTGAGCCTGAATTGTTTGCACCTGGCCGTCTTCGACCTCCGCACTCGCGTCCCATGACCGCGTGATGAAAGGATACCAGTTGCGTATGACTGGATCTGCGGGGCACGTCCCCCATTCGCGGAGATACGGAGCCCATCGTCCGTTGTAGGAGGTTGAGAAACTGGAGAAGGGCCCAAGCAAAAGCTCTGCTGGCATGTGCGTCGGTCGTGAGGTGTTTTTCTCTTGACCAGGTATCATCCGGTGGAGGGTGGCATACCTTAGGCCCAAACCCAATATCAAACTTAACCTTCTTTCCGGGTCCGTTCCGTCAGGAAAACAGAACAAGCTGTGAACCCAAAAGTGCAATCAACCACTAAGAGATCCATAGTAAACCCACAGAAATCTGATGAAATGCATAGTCCATGGACATTCACGGAAACGTGTACATCGAAAGGGTTGAGTCCCTAGATTCTTGTCCGGATACATCCTGAGCATAGGGATCTTCTCCTTAACCACCACCGACTTCCAGTGCCTCTCCTTGATGATCGATAAGAGCTCACGCTCCTGGATGTTTGGATACATGTGGTCCGACACGAAGCTCCACATGTTCAGGATCTTGCGCTCAGGCCACTTCTCCTCGAGGTAGAAGTCGTTGTGATAGTGGAGACCGTCCTTGTCTCTTTTGGACCATGACCCAATCTTGTCCCGGCGCCACTTGTCCCATGACTTCAGAAATTGAGGTAGAAACGCCTCCGTTCTGTGGTACACCTCGCTCCACATGGTTTTTGGGGACACAGTAATCCAGGCCGGGCTCCAACCCATGTGCTCCTCCCAGTATCGGCCGGCATTGATGGACTCGGCATAAGCCCCCATCTGGAAGTTGGCACACAAGAGGTAAAGCGGAAGGAGCCGGCCAAAGTACGGACGCCTTTTGCGCTGCTCTAGCTTGCCCATGCAATCCCGACCATACCTTGCTGCCATCTTTGTTTGCTCATAGAGGTTAGAGAACAAGATCCTGTTTATGGGTAATCCGGCAGAAACGTTCTGCTTGACAGGCTTCATGCCCTCCTCGTAACTGCGGAGCTCGCGCTTTCCGCTGTCGAGCATGGCCATGATGTCGGCGTTGACCTCATTGAAGATCGCATCGCTGACATACTTCTTGGTCCACTCCTGAATCATTTGAATCAAGGGCTTCGCCCAACTGAAGTCCTTGCCGAAGCCGAGGAAGAAAACACCCAGCAAGAGCGAACAAATCTCTCCAATCACCGGGATCCTCAGAATGAGAGCCCCTGCGGCTGCCTTTGCAAACATCACGGCATACTCGAAAGCGGCACAGTCCTCCCAAGAGTCGATGAAGTCTTGGACTGGGTCGTACGCGAAGGTCTCGTTGGGCCACGCGCCGGACGCGGACTCTGCGGAAGCGAGCCAAGACCTCGTGGCGAGAGACCTCCTCGTGGCCAGAACAGCGTTCTCGTCGGAAGCGCACTCGGCACCAGCCACCAAAGGCAGGGCAAGCCAAGCAAGACACCAAGGTGACATGCGAGGGACGAGAGTTGCACACGAGTTGGCACTCAAGCCCAAGCCTCCGTGCAAGGAGCCGTACAA